AACTCACAGGGATCATCAAAGTCCAACTCCTGAATAAATAAATTATATACTTTTCTTGTTATGTAAATCCTTGGTTGCAGTTATGTCAAACTGTGGCTAATAACAACAATTAAATTGACTGATATATTTCTATAAAGCAGGGTAGGGTGCTACCTTTAACTGAATATCTTCACTAATGCAGATGATAGCTCCAAGGGAGTTTGTTAAAAAGTTAGTGTCAAGCTCTACATCTCAAAGCTCCTTATGGTTCCTTAAAAGCCGAAAGAATTTTAACTAGATTTTCTGTATCTTAATAACACGAAAGAATGTTTTTGAAGACTGCTGTTCATTGCACCATAATCTCTTTAACTGTGTTAAGACACTAAGATATTTTTTAAATAACAGTGTGTGTAATTTTGGGGAAAAAAGGATATCAATATGTGATTATTATGAAAATGAAGAGGCAGCTACTAGGTATGGAATTTTGCAGAATACTTGATGAGTTCAGTGTAGCATTACTAAATGACTGAAATCTAAGTAACATTTGGCATTATAATAGAAGAAAATAACTGACTAGGCTAGCTTAAGAAGCAGTGGTACTGCACCATAATAAGTGTTTTTCTTCAAGCAGCAGACTTTCTTCTCCGAAATTAGACTGAAGAAAATGGGGATTATCAAAGGTGTATACTTACTGGACAGCAAAGAACAAAAAAATAAGTGTGTTTAGGATGCAGTTTCAGAAGACATCTTTGTCAAAAATCTGTAGTTATATGAGTAGCTGTTTTCAAGATTGGCCCCTTGGTGGGTATGTTCTGTGACTGAAATTCCTGAACCTTCAATTCAGCTTAATTAATAAACAGTGTATATTTTAAGGTAACTTGAAAGACTTGATGCCGAATCTATCTTGCAGACTCCTCTTGTGAGAAAAGAACCTCTGGACCATGCTGCCTGAATGGCTAATTTACTTTTTCTGTACATCTACTTGTGTCTTTTCATTACTTGTAATAGTTCTGCAGGTTTGGGATGCTGTCCTTTTAATGAATTCAATGTAGTACTTTTAAGTGCCCAATAAATGTAAAACCAGCTGTGTTCAAGGAGTAATAGAAGAAGGAAAAAAATCTCTTTGGGCAAACCAGTTATCCAAGGGTTATAAGAAGTACTGTATATTTCTCTGTGGTGAAGAAACATTTCCCTTTCTGTTTCTAAAATCATCTTGTATCTCTAACATCAGTTAGCAACCGTAATACTACTGTCAGGTATAACATATCCCAGCTGCATTTTAGAATGAATTGAGCTGGGACAAGGGATCCTTGGAGCTCACTGAATGGGTGAGAGCTTTTAAAGGGAGAAATCAATACTACAGCAGGATTTAGACAACTTAGCAAAATATATCAGACAGAACTTTGGTCAAAGAATAACTACAATAGCAAGTTAACCCATGGAATGCCTGAAGTACAGTCTATAGCATTTCACCTAAACTCTTAGTTGAAAAGAAGAACGTTGGTTACTCTAGCATGGGACTAGAAACCTAGTAAGGGTGACAAATCCATTCTCTTAAAAGGTCTCATCCTCACATGTTATCCAAAATCTCTTTGCATATTACTTCTGTGATTTTTAACACCTAACCTTAAGTCAGACATGAGCAATTAAAGAATTGCTCCATTAAGCAAAATTGCTTGGATGTGAAGAAAATGTACGTTTTTTTCTGAGTTACTGCTTAGTAGAAATAGTACTTTTCTGATAGTCAGGAGGAAGCAATACTAAAAAGACTAATGGACTTTCCTGGTACAAGTCTTGGTAGAGCTGAATACCTGTACTTTATTTGAGTGTAAGAGATTAACATGCAAGAGGTCTTTCACTGCAACTGTATGTTCTCAGATCTTAGCAGAACATACTTTTGGTAACAGCAATTCCTGTGCTTAGATTGACATCAGGCACAAGGATAGCTGTCCACAGGGATGGAACTAAAGCATGAATTTGGAGTCTCAGTAATATTCTGTTAATTTTAGATTTCTAGATTTTCTCTCTAAAAATCCATTTTTCCTATTGAAATGAAAAAAATGCTAAGAGCCTGTAAAAGGAGTAAATAAATGGCCAGTAAAATGATGCTGTTACCAGTCAAATACTACAAGTAAAATGTAGAGGAGAGTCACTCCTTTCCCACTTGAATTTTCATGTCAGTAAAGTGTGAATCTTAAAAGCCCAGTTTGAAAGTATTCAAACTATAGCATGCATAGCAATTAAATTGTTTCTTTGGGTCATTTCAAAACCAAGGAAATTAAAAACATAAAATTACATTAACACCTCACTGAACACTGAATTTCCTCAAACTGAGTTTGGCTATGGGAAATTGTATTTCTTATAAAGTTTTAAAGCCCCATCCACCTTCAGTTAGGGTATGAGAGTCCAAAATTCACTCATTTGGCATTCTTAGTACCTCAAGAGAAGTATGCAGGAATGGAATCTTTATTTCATTATTTGTATAATCCTCTTCAAGTCATATAATATGAACAGTTCACTTTGTGGTTGGACTTAATATATTTGCTAGAAGGCTGTCGTTTTTTGACTTTTCCTGAATCTTCACGTGTGCCAGGCGCCTCCCAAGCTGCAGCACCTGTTGATGCACCCAAGCCAGTTTCAGACTTGTTAATTTGAGTATTCCCAGCAGCAGTGTTAAGCAGTTTGCACTCATCTCTGTTGCAAAATTCACCTCAAATATGGG